CCCCTCTCCCCCTCTCTCTCCCCCTCCCCCTCCGCCGAGCATCGGCTCACCGCAACAATGACCTTCTGGTTCAAGAACTCCCCCAGCAAGTGGTTCGAGCTCTCCGAGCGCCAGGCCAACGGCCAGCCGATCGACATGGACCTGGCTCGCCTTCTCCTGGGCCCCTCGACCGACGGCCGGATCCCACCCACCTTCAAGCACCAGGCCTCGCTGCCGCCCCTGCCGGTCCCGGCCCTTGAGAAGACTCTCCAGCGTGTATGTCTACCCCTGCCCCCCCCCCCCCCCCCCCGCGCGCGCGCGCGCGCTGGGGTCCTCCCATATTCCCCCCCTGCACCCTCTGCCCATTTCCTCCCTTCCGCCCTTTGGCCCGCCTGCCCTTCTGCTCCTAGCTGTGCTGCCCCATATGCTGACCATGACCCCCGACGGCCTGTAGGTCCTCATCAACGCCGAGCCCTTCGGCCTGGACGCCGATGGCCACGACACGGCCGAGATGGCGGCCCTGCGCCGGGATGTGGCGCAATTCCTTGCCCCCGGTGGGCTGGGCCAACGACTGCAGGGGCTCCTGCAAGCCCATGCCCAGGCCATCGATGCCAAGGCGGCCGCTGATCCGGCCCAACACAAGTCCTGGCTCGAGGACTGGTGGCTGCAGTATGCCTACCTCATCTGGCGCACTCCGCTGCCAACGACCTCGAACTGGTGCGTCCACCATGGGGACCCTGCCTGGGTGCCCCGGCCGTGCCCTCTCCCTGCCTCCCTGCTCCTGCCTGCCCTTGCTGACACCCCCCCCCCCTCCTTTCGCTTCCATCCATGGGCGTGTCTCGGCCGACATACGCCGCTGCTGCAGGTTCATCATTTTCCCCCGGCACCCGGCCAGCCTGGGCACCGCTGATGGCCGAGTTTGCCCGATCGCCCGTGCCTCGCTGGTTATCCGCAAGGGCGCCGAATTCGTGGAGCTCCTCCGCCGGTGCGCCTCCGCTCGGCCCTTTGCCCTTTCTCCCCCTTTCGCCCTGCATGGGAGTTGCTTCTCCCCTTCTCACTTGCTGCCGTTTGGCACAACGGAGCCCCCCGCTACCACATACCCCAGTGGCCTTTTTTTTCCTGCTCACCCACACACACACACACACACACACACATGCATGCCCCCATATGCATATGCTCGGCTCCGGCTGGCTGTGCGCACATGCCGCACCCCCATCCGGCCAAAGCGAGCATGTCCCGATTGACTCCCTGCGCGAGCAGCCACTCTGCATGAATCAGATCCGCTCCGCCTTCGCCAATTGCCGCATCCCCGGCCCCGGGTCCGACACCATCCGCAAGACCTCCGTCCATGATACCAACCACATCATCATCATGATCGACGGGCAGATGTTCCGTCTGGAGATCTTTGACGCCTCCCGGAAGATCATCTCCCCCCTGGACATCTACAAGTGCGTATCCTCCGGCGGACATGGGACATGCCGAGGCATGTGACCGCGTGCCGGTGTGGGAGACAAACCTCGACACACACACACACACACACACACACACACACACACACACACACACACACACACACACACGCACGCACGCACGCTCCATGAGGACATGCTCTGACTCCGTCTTTCCCGGAACGCCCCACAGGAAGATCCACTCTTTCATCTCCTTCGCTCAGAGCGTCCGCTCTCAGCCGGCCATCGGCCTGCTGACCGGTGCTGACCGGGACACTTGGACCGACGCTCGGGACCATCTCCTGGCCCGGGACCCGGGTGGCCTGAACGCCCGGTCCCTGGACCAGGTGGAGACCTGCCTCTTCCTGGTGTCCTTCGACCTGGATTACACTCCGGCCACTCGCGGGGAGCTTGGCTCGCGGGTGCTCCTGTCCACGGGTGCCAACCACAACCGCTGGTGTGATCACACGCTGAACCTGGTGGTCTGTGCCGATGGCGAGGTCGGCGCGGCGTGCGAGCATACGCCACTCGACGCCCCGAGCCTCTGCCACAACGCCCTGAGCTACATCAATTGCGCGTGCGTCCGAGACAGGCCTGTTGCGGCTCTCGCCACTTGGGCGCCTTGGCCCTGATCCACTCTAACATGTGCCCGGCCGACATGCGTGCCATCCTCTGCACAGCGAGGAGAGGGAGGAGCTTCTGGCCCTCGAGTCGCAGGGGCGGATCTACGCCACGGAGCCCTCCACCTCCGATGCCCTGGCGGCGCTCCTCCGCTGGAACATCGATGAGACCATCTCCCAGGTGCGTGGCCCACCTTCCTGTGCCTCTGTCATCCGCGCCCAACACCTTCACCATTTCCCCCTCGAACATGCGTTTTTTTATTTAAAAAAAAAGCCTGGCACACACGCATACACGCACGCACGCACGCACGCACGCACGCACACATGGGTACACATATACCCTCATGCTCACATACACACACACACACACACACACACATAGGCCCTCGCCACCGCCAAGGCCACAGTCGACGAGTACACCCGGAACTTCCGCTACGCCGCTCTGGAGACCAACCTTCTCGGCAGTGACTGGCTCCGGCAGAAGCGCGTGTCCGCCGACGGCTTCATGCAGCTGACCATCCAACTGGCGTACCTCCGGGCGCACCCCCTCCGGCCGCCGGCCGGCGTCTATGAGAGTGGCATGACCCGGGCCTTCCTACATGGGCGGACGGATGTCCTCCGGTCGCTGACCCTGGCTAGCCGGAAGTTCTGCCTCTCCATGCTGGACGAGGGGGCCACCGATGCCGACCGCCTGCAGCTCCTGGAGGCAGCCTTGCGCCGGCATCGCAGTCTGCTGATCGAGACGGTCACCGGCACCGCCATCGACCGGCACATGCTGGCCCTGCGCATTCTGGCCATGGAGCTGGTTAGTCAGGGAGAGCTGTCCGAGGTGCCGGCCCTGCTTGCCCCGGCCGATGGCTCGATCTTGGCGCTGGCCGGGCGCTTCCTCCTCAGTACCAGCAACCTGTCTCCGGCCCAGTACTCCATCGGTGGCTACGCGCCCATGTACTCCGAGGGGTATGGCGTTTGCTACGGCCTGAACGATCACAGTGTGCGTTGTGTACCTTTCTTTGGCTTGTGTCCCGCAGCACCCTCGGGGGGGGGGGGGGGCCGCATTGTGCCCCTGCGTGGCGGGCCCCCTCTTTCGGTCGGGTCGGGCAGGGAAAGTCCCCCGCCTCCCCTCCTCTCCCTCTCTCCCTCTGCCACTCGCTGGCGACGCCCTTGGTGTCAAGCACTGACCGCATGCCAAACATCGCCAATGACCGCAACTGCACGACCGGGGGGGGGTGGGGGGGGGGGGGGGGGGGGGGGGGGGGGGGGGGGGGGGGGGGGGGGGGGGGGGTGCGGGCACGACAATCGCCCAGCTCTGGATCTCGGTGACCAGCAACCAGGCCAACGGCGACACCGACGCCTTCATGCTGAAGCACGCCATCGAGCAGTCGATGCAGGACATGATTGCTCTCATTCGCCGAGGCACCGACGATGCCGGTGAGCCGCGCACCAAGCTCTGAGCAAATGTCGCTCCCCTGGCCCCCTGTGTCTGGGCCTTCCGGCAATCCGCGTACGCCGGGGAAAGGAAGGGAAAATGAAGGCCAGACGACTGGCTGCTCTCCCTCTCTCTTGGCCCCCCTCGCTTTGCCTGGCCCCCTTTTTCTACCTGTCTCGCTACATGACTCTCGGCCATTGAGAGCCTGGGGCCGCCGGTCCATGCGGCATGGCTGGACATGGAAGTGCCCTGCCCCGATGCCTGCCGAAGATGCGAGGCCGGGCGAGTGGCACGGAGGGGCGGCGCAGCAAGAGCGAGAGGAGGAGAACGAACTTTTTATTTGAAGGAAGAGCCCGAGTGTAATATAATGTAGCTGGCCATTTGTTGTACACGTGCGTCGTCCAGAGACCGGAGCAAGATCATGGAACAGAGCAGGATCACGGAGCGGACCACATCATCCACAGCGAAAGGGGGGGGGGAGGGGAGGAGGGGAGGGAAGAAACGGGAAGTGCCGGCCAGTAGGGGGCACCCAGGGAAGGACAGAATGAAAAGGACAGAGCGAGGTGCGATGCGCCGCGCGGTGTGGCACTGGCAGACGCTTAGTTGGAGGTCGAAGCGTAGGTGATCAGCTTGGTGAGCTCTGGGGATTTGGAACAGCCGGCGGGGGGGGGGGGAGGCGGTCAGTCAACAGGGGGGAAGGGGTGGACAGAGAAAAGGGAAACAGGAGGGGGCAGGTCACGCACGAGGGAGCTGGATGTTGTCCGAGACAACCGAGCCATCGGAGGAGGTGTTCTCCGGGACGAGGGGCAGGGACAGGACGTCGCCCTCGACGGTCCAGCCCTTGGAGGAGATGAACTGAGTGAGCTCAGCGCCTGGCCAGGGGAGGCGGAGAGGGGGAGATAATAAAGAAGAGAGAGAGAGAGAGGAGAGAGAGAGAAGAGAGAGAGAAGAGAGAGAGAAGAGAGAAAGAGAGGAGAGAAAGAGAGGAGAGAGAAAAAAAGAAGAGAGAGGAGAGAGAGGAGAGAAGAGAGAGAGAGGAGAGAGAAAAAAAGAAGAGAGAGGAGAGAGAGGAGAGAAGAGTTGTCAGAAAATGATCACCCAATTGCTAAAGAAAGCGGAGACTCGGACATGTGCAAACATGCGAGGACGCACCAGACAGGTTGACCAGGGTGCCGAAGAGAGAAAGAGAAAGGCGCTGGTAAGTGATGGAGACAACCCCGGCGATGACGTCGCGGATGTTGTCGAAGAAGCCGACGACCGGCTCGATGAGGGCCGCCACGGCGGGCTTGGCAACGGAGGCCCAGAAGGCATCGAGGCGGATGCACTCGAACTGCTCCTGCAGGGTAAGGGCGGCCTGGACGTTCTCGTCCTCCAGCTGGGTGGTAGGGTGGTGATGGGGAAAGGGGGAGGAGGCGAGAGGACGGGCGACGCGGAAGGGAGCAAGGGGGGCGGGCAGATCGACCGGTCAGTCCCCGGAGGCGAGCAGAAAGGGAGCGGGAAGGCGGGGGGAAGGCCGGAGGGCCATGGCCAGACGCGGGAGCCTACGCACCAGGGTGGCGCTCAGCAGGTAGCAGGCGGCGGCGGCATCAGCCCGCGGCGACACGGTCAGGGACTTGATGATGATGCGGGCGACGATGAGGCCGCGAGCCTTGGCGGCCTCGGTGCCGACCTCGACCGGGTCGAAGTTGTAGAACTTCAGGAGGTTCATCATCTCGGACAGGTTGTACTCCTGGGCCCCGGAGAACTGGGCGGCGACGCTGGTCTCCAGCTGGCTGATCTGCTCGGGGAGGACGCTCATGATGACGGGGCGGGAAGGGCAGGGAGGAGGGGGCGCGACGGAAGGCGGGCGAGGGGGCGGGAAGGAGGGGAGGGGGGAGACGCGCAGGTGGGGGAACGCTGGCGACCGAGGAGGAGGAGGAGGAGGAGGAGGGAGCACGGATCCACCGATCCCAGCCCCGAACGGGGTGTCTCTTAGCAGCGGCGCCGGCGACATCGCAAGAGGGGCCCCACAGAGGGAGGAAGCGAGAGAGGGAGACGAAAACCGAGGCGCCTGACCACCGAGGGTCGGGCCGAAGAGGGGGTTCGTTCCTGGGGGGGGGGGGGG